GTGGACATGTCTCGACTCGTTCCCCGGTCCTGACCGATCATCCCAGTTCCTCCAGGGCCCAGTTCACCCTTGTTGGCTTCTCCACACATAAACCATACACACACAGCCGTGACATTTGATCAGCCTGTTTCAGTTTGTTGAAGCTGGGACCCCTGAAGCTTGGCCACTGGGCGTTTGGACATCTGGAGCAATGTCATTTTCCATTCGAAACAAATTAGCTTCTTGTCAAAGTCAATCTGTGAGTAGTTAACAGATAACGCTCCATTCTTAAACCTAAACCGGCACATTATTCAGGTTTTACTGACTTCCAGTGGTGGCCTGTGAGAGGACACAAAGGAAGCAGAGCCTCCTAAAAGTGTATGAAAATATGGCCATAAATTTCTACATACATGGCCTAAGTCAAAACTAAACAATTGCAACAACTAAAACATTAAAATTAACTGTTTGATTTAACCCACCTTTTTCAAATTCATATAAATATCTATTTCTTTTATACTTATTTCTTTTCATATTTTATTAGAATTTTTCTTTCTAGGAAATTTTTTTTTTTTTTGCTAAGCTCTGCCCATGTTTACTGTTTCGTGTATCTTGAAAACAAACTTTTTATACTGAGGTAAAGTTGTATTTGCTGTTCTCTTTTTTTACCAATTTTAATATCCTCATATGAAAATAAAAATACTGCTTATATCAACTCTGGGTACCTTCACTGTAAAAAATTACCGTTATCTTAACATTAGTTGGAAGTAAAAAAAAAAAGTCATTTTATAATTTACAGTGAAAACCCGCAAATTCCTAGAATTTCATGTGTGGCACTTCATATTTGATGGTATTTATTGAAATAGCTGTTTATTTTTTTCTTATCAGTTATGTGTATTAGGATTTTATGTTACAGCATATGTTAATTATGTTAAATTAATATTTATTGCATTTATTTAGTGTCACGTGTCACCAAAGCTGCTTGTGATGAACTTTCATCACTTCATCATTTATTCATCTTCGGGCTAATTACCACGTGTGTTTTGATGGTTGTCACTGTATAATTAAGAGTTTTAGTACTACAGTAGGTTGGTATATAAACATTATATAAATTAATAAAATATGCAGGTTTTAACATGTCATTTTAGGTTTAATCTGTGAAACCTAAAATGTTGCCGCTGTGTTTTTAAGGTGACGTTCTGACAACTATAGGTGATGTTTTGTTTTTAACTGTAAATTTCACAGATTATAAGTGCAACATTAGCACATTTTGGGATAATTTCAGTTAAAACAAATAAAAAATAACTAAACACACTCAACATAGATATTAACTTGCAAAAGCTTGTCTGATATGATGAATGTCAACAATTATTACAGAAGGACTGGTCAATAACATCCCAAATTCTCCAATACATTAAGAGACGAATCAGAGTGGATATGCAAATGATGCAGCATTATATTTGATGCAACACATTTACAATAGGTAAGTGTGTCAAACCTGTGTATGGTGATTTGTTTCCAATGTTTACTGTTGGTGGGGCTGACAAAATGTTCCATAATTTACCAAATCTTAAAAAGTGCTGGATAATTCAATTAAAGGTGCCATAGAATGGAAAACGTCTCAGGTTACTTATGTAACCATGGTTCCCTGAGTAGGGAACGAGACACTGCGTCCTCTAGGGGTCGCTATGGGGAACGGTATACCCACGCCACCATGCTGAGGGGAGTGCATGCCAGAACCATGGCGAGCACTAAGTACCAACTCTACCATATTGCTATGGGAGTCGCCCCTGGGACGTTAGACGGCTGTCAGTGACGTTATTCCCTACGGCCAGTTAAGTACTGCCGCTGTAGTTTACACAGAGCAGGTGCAATCGCAAATCTCGAAAGTGATAGTAAAAAGTGACCGTGCATTCGAATATATTAATAGCGGCTCCTTGATGCCTGCATTTTATATACAGTATAATTACCCAATGATATAACTGCGAGAGACCGTATTGAAATACATATTTTCCCTGTGTTTTCTTCCTGCTGTGTGAGCTACTGAAATGAGCCGCACTGTGAAACAGCCAATCAGAGCAGAGCTCAACATTATTATTCATGACCCTTCCAAATAAGGTAAAAACAGGCCATTTCATTCTAGGGACAAATCGTATTGTTGTAAATGGACATGTAAAACCGTTTCTGGAGATTTTTTTGTCCTTACCTAAGCCACATACCGTCTATGTAGATATCAGAGAACAATTTAAAATATTGTATCAATGCATTCTATGGCACCTTTAAATTATTGAATTGCATTAAATGAAAAAGTAACATTCTCTTAAGAAAAAGTCTAATTATGATTGTGCCCTTCTACCCTATTTCAAGCCCTACTTTTGTTTACCAACACTGTCAGCATTGTGACTACAGTATATGCAGCTTTCTGTTAATACCACTGCTAGAGCCATACGTTCATTTTTATGCCACTTCATCTTTAACACAACTATCCTAATGTTATATCATGTTTTTGTGTTGTTTAAGCCCTAAGGCCTGAAAGGCCTTAAGACAAATGCCTTGAATAGATTTCAAATACTGCATTATCTATGTTCTTGTCCTTGTCCTTGAAATACAATAGGTCAAATGTATTTGTGCTATTTTTGCAAGAGAAAACAATTGAATGAAGTGCTTGAGTCAGTCTCCACTGTATTGAAATTGTCCCTTCAAAAGCACGCTTGTCTCTAAGGACTGACCAGTCTCTGAAAACTGACCACAGAAGGGTTAAAAACACACACAATGCCCTAAACTGGATTTATAAATGCATCTGCACACCATGTCTATTTTAACCCTTCTCTTTCTATTATACTGAATGAAAAGGAGGATATTGAAGAGAATACTTTGCATTTCAGTTCACTTCTCCCTCTCAAAACCTGCTTATTTTAGTCTTGACCACGTTTCTCTCAAGCGGCAACCTCCCGCTCTCTCTCGTGAAGCCAACAAGGAAGTGACTTAAACTGTAACGATTATCCAGGAGTGATGCACGGTGATGCGCTGCCAAGATGGCGACGGCCGCCTCCGCCCACTTTTGAGCTTCAAAAACGCTCCTCGGAAATCTACGGGTGACGTCACGGACACTACGTCCATGTTTTTATACAGTCTATGGTTTCTCTACTATGCTATAGCTTAGTAAGCAGAGACGGCTATAATTAAGCCATTTATAGTTGGAATGGTAAATTCTGTGGAGCTTTCAATACAGGAGTTTGAGGTGGTTATATGTGGCCATCCAATGGCAGATGAAGAAGTGTTCTCAAAACAGAGTCACTATTTATACAAGTCTGTTCAGTCACTTAAGCTTTAAGGGAGCCTTTAATATCTCCATCCATACCTATTGTGCTCATGTAGAGAGAATTTGCTAAACGAAGAAATCATTGTAACTTGACTCTAGAAGGTGACTCATTATCATGTGGGAAAGTTTGGTGTTTTCAGACTCTCAAGTGTGCACTTCAGCACTGACTCACGTTTTATTATCGAATAGGGGGGGGGGAATTCAGATTTTTTGGGGGGAAATAAAAACCTGAACCTGACTTTTATCTACCTAGGAAGTACATTTGGGCTCTATTTATTGCTGCTTGCAGCTATATGCCTAATTTAGGTTTGTAATTTTCACTCTCCAGCACATGTCCTTGACATGTCTCTATATTAACACACACAAAGGCCAGAACAGGCTGACTGACCTGGTCCTAATCTTGTACTACTAACAGGTTTGTCCAATGTCATAAACATGGAGAACTCATAGTCTAAATAATGAAAGTGTTATGGTGTTACAGCCTAGTACGAATACGGCAGAGCCTTCAGACCATGAAGCATGGGGTCTGAAGAAGCACCCTCTTTTTCTGCCTCTTTCATTCAAAGTTTAGACAATATTAAGAACACATACATGCTCCATACAGCAGGCTCTTCCCCTCCCTTTAATCTCTGGCAGAAAAGTAACTTTCAAAAAATGTGCTGGGGAATCTGTCTTGGGAGAACAAAGGCAGAGAGGAAATCATGTAGATAGTGGCAGAGGGATCTGTAATTTATCACCTGTGAGCCATGGGCGGTCCGCCATGACAAGGGCTTTGAAGATGTGTGCATGGGCCCCTCAGAGGGAAGGAATGTGTGGACAGAAGAGAATGGAAGATGACAGTATCTCACACTTCAAAAACAATGGAATCAGCAAAGCTAAACACTTGCAATAAACACTTGCAAGCATATTCTTTGCTGATTAATGTCTTGTAAAATTAACGTATATGCATAAATTAAATTAATAATAATAATATAATAAAGTGAATATTTTAAACTTTGATCACAATTATTTTTCACCATTTATAATCACATTTGAGCCTTTTTGCAGTTTCATTAAAAAGTCTGCGGAGTTTTTCTGCATGCATAAAAATATGCAGGATTTAGAAAAATGTTTAACATAGCTTTAGATGAAGAACAGCAAGTCACTGCAGAACTCTGAAACGACACAATTTTGACTGCATGGAGTTTGACTGCCACCGTGTGTTCATACTGTAAACTATCGGGGCATAATTCAAATACTAAGCAAGAATACGTCTAAAGAAGTTGTGTAAAGAATATAAGATATTTTATATATGCTAATGTATCTTTAAAATACATTTAACTGTATTTTAAAATTAATAAATAATACACAAATATATATATATGTGTGTGTGTGTGTGTGTGTGTGTGTGTGTGAAATATAAAAATATAAAATATTGTTCATATTAAAATTAAGTCTATTTATGCCCAGAGTTTACGCGTAATAGATTTTAATTTATTAGTTTTTATTATTAGGTTATACGATATTTATTAGTTAAAATTCGTTTTCAATATAAAATAACCGTGAGTGCTTGCCTGAAAATGATTTATAATTTCTTGTTTATTAAACGATTTCTTATTTCTTTATTTTGATTCTGTAACTCGTGACCGGTTTCGTGAGATTCACCCATATGGCAAATTGTGCGTCATGACATCAGCTCGGTGTCGCGAGCACGTTGTACACGCGCAGGTTTATGTTGTAAAACAGGAAACGGTGAGAGGCGTTAGCCTGTTGGCTACCAGCACCGCACACAGAAACGAAATCAGAGCAAAACGTTTATCTGAAGAAGGGAATAAAGAGTATCGTCTGCCCGGTTGATTGGTTTCATCGGTGGGACCGACATGTCAGAGACGTACGGTAATGACAGCTCATTTGTGTTGTTAGCGCTTACAGCGAGCGAGTGCTGGCGCGTGCCGTTTCAACTTCATCAGGCAGACAATTTCTGACTCCAAACCTTTATTTTTTACACAAATACCCATTAGTACGTAATATTGCAATCATATACCCTTAGAGTCACTACTGTAATTCTGGCCTGGTCAGGCTGTGTGTAAATATGTGCTTATTTAGGTTCATTTCAACACTCTCAGATGGGCCTGTCAGATCAGCTTGCACTGGTGGTGATGATGATGTCTAAAATAATATTCAATATAAAATAATATAGTGTACGTAAATATGTATGTGTTAGACGAGAGCTGAAAAACTGATTTGATAACTGATAATAATTCCATAAACCAATATGTACAACGCTGTATAACTCATTTCCTGTCTTCAGGAAAGTGTTTTTTTTTTTTTTGTTTTTGTTTTTTTGTAGCATACACAAATTAGTGTGCTTACTACCCGACAGGTAGATGTCCAGAGAAATCGCACATGTTTTTTTGTTTTTTTATTGCAGTAAACTTGTTTTTTTTTGTTTTTTTGTAGCATACACAAATTAGTGTGCTTACTACCCGACAGGTAGATGTCCAGAGAAATCGCACATGTTTTTTTGTTTTTTTATTGCAGTAAACAACAAGGATTACAGTACGTACAAAACAAACAGTAAAAAAACAGTACGTACAAAACATACAAAATACCAATCAATAATAAACTACTTGAGGATTAATAGATAAAACATCACAGAAAAAAAACAATATAATATAAAAATTCTTAAGAAAAGGACAGAAGAAAAAAGAAAACGAAACCAAAAAAAGGCACACAAATAGAAATACAAGTATATTAGGGAAAAATCTTAAACATGGCACAAATTCTAGATGTTTTAGAGCTTTCTTGTTAACAGACGTTGAAATTGTATTTAAATACAACTTCAGTTCTTGTCTGAAGATGTTAAAGTGGGGTTTACATTTAGTATATTTACATTTATGGACATAAAACTTTCCAATAAATAACAGGAGGTTTATACAAAAACTTGCATTAAATAGATTCTTATCTTTAGCATAAAACCCCAAAATAATGTGTTTATAACACAAAGAGAAATCATAAAAAAATATTTTGGACAATCAGAGCATTAATATTATTCCAGAAAGACTGAACAAAGGGACACTCCCAAAACAAATGAGCTACAGTTTCAGAAGAAAATTCACAGAATGAACAAAATGTATCAATGTCACTTTTAAATTTCTGCAAAAACTGCTTGACGGGATAAAACCTGTGAATTATTTTATAAGATATTTCTTTAACTTTATTTGTTAAGAAAAATTTCAGAGGGAGTGACCAAACATATGCCCACTTAATATCATCAAAAAGGTTGTTCCAATAAGAAATGGAGGAAGAATTAGAGGTAACAAGGTCCAAAAATAACTGATTGTGGAGAAAGCATTTAAGCCAATTCATTTTTAAGGTGTTATTAAGAGAATCAAAGTCAATAAAATTTAAACCGCCCTTATTATAAGAATTTAAAATAACAGATTTTCTAATATAATGAGTTTTTAGAGAAATCGCACATGTGTTTGACAGTTCTATGCTCTGTAAACAGCAGTAAAGGTGAGGGGCGCGGTCTGCTCTGTTTTAGCCAATCAAAAACGTTCTCTGCCTGTTTATCATTTAAAGTGAATTGAGACTTTTTTTCTCAGAATTGCGAGATATAAACTACCAATTCTGACATTTTTTTTCTCAGAATTACGAGTTTATACATTATCTCGCAATTCTGACTTCATAACAACTGCAAGTTATAAAGTCAGAAGAGATATAAACTTGCAATTCTAAGAAAGTTGTTTTTTTTCCCTTGGAATAATTAGACTTATAACTGTGCGTTCACACCGCCGCCGTCGAGAGCGTCAAAAATCGCTCTGGCCGCCCTGCCAACAACACTGTAGAAAGATTTGTGGACGCTCTTGACGTAGATCAAATGCTTATCTTGTATTTAAAGGGGTCGCAAAGCAAACACGCTTGTTGATCTTGTGCAGACTTGACCACAAGGAGGGTAACGTAAAGTTAACCTCATTAAATATTGTTGTGGAGAAAGCATTAAGATCCTTTACCTCATAATGTATAAAGCACTAATACCACACTGTAAAAATACTCTGATACAAGTAAAAGTCCTGCATTGAAAATGTTACTTAAGTAATCAGGTATAAACATTACTTAATGTAAGTATAATCAGGAAAATTGATTTAAAGGTTTAAAAGTGAACAGGGACTATTATACTACTATTTATTATATCATTAGATTATTTTTCCTATAACGTTAATGCACATCAGCAACTCACCAGGAACACCAACAATCTCAGACACCTTGGTCCACGCATAATTTTTTTTAATTTATGTCCCTGTATGTAAACAGGGACACTTCATAGATTATTGGGAAACCCGCCACAGCAATAATCAACCTCTCCTCCATTTTGCTTGGGAACTAATGTGGTCGGAACCAAAGTTTACA